TATAAGGGACCAAAAAAAATAACTGCGTGCATGCGCAGTTGGGGCAAAATCTGGACAACAAGATACAAAGAGACCAAAAAGCCGTACTGCCACTTCTGAAGAGCTGGGAGCAAAAGCAGGGGGTCGGGAGCAAAATCGGGGTACTGCGCATGCCCCCTGCACACATCACCACCTGAGGGGTGGGCAAACCACCTCAGCCCCTCCTCCAGCCCCACCGCTGGACACACCCCTACCCTCTCCCCATGTGAGGGACCAGCTCGCAGCCCCCTCAGCGAGCAAGCCAGCAAGGAAACCTGTTACTTGTTCTCATTCCCCCCTGCTGCAGCAGGGACCGCAATAAGGCCTTGCCTGAATTTCTTGGCTGGCCTCTGATCAATTTCTATTGATTAAGGAGGCCAGGAACCTTGGTCGGTAACAAGGAGATGGGCTTGGGGGGGATAGGAGAGATGTTGTTTAAGGGTGCAGACTTGCAACAAGTAGTAAATAAGCCATCGAGCTCTAACATGAATATAGACAACAACATTTTATTATAATCATCGAACTTGCTAAAAGACTAGAACTTAATTATTCCAACCACTAAAAAGAAAAGATAATTATGTAACGGAATATAGGTGTGAAATATTGCTACAATGGCAATCATATAGCAATATATAAATGTATCAAATTAAAATATTGTACACCTTAAATTTAAACAGTGTTATATGTCAAATATATTCAATTTAAAACAGAAAAAAAAAAAAAGAAAAACAAAGGCTCTTCTCAACCCAGAAAACCTCTCCACACAGGTAGAAGAGAAAAAAGAAAAAGTTTTATTACAGCATTAAACCAGAATGTGATGTGCACTACAGGCAGTTTGCTAAGAAATTGCAAAGACCGAAAGAAAGCTCACTCCCTTATATAGCCAGACAGATACAACCCCCTACATACATGTTCTTAAGGTAAACAGTAACTAGTCCTCAAGTAAGAGGACTTGACAGCACCATTTGTCACATATCCTAAATTCATCTGGTAATTGGGGGTGATTGTATTAGTTAATTAGCTTTATCCAAAGGAAGAATAAACTTCTCATATCTTCACGACTGGAGGTCGTTTTGCAACCTGGAGTGTGGTGTCCACCTCAGCTGGGCTCTTACCCTCCCCCAGAATCTCAACCTTGGTAGAAGCAATTTTATTTTATTTATTTTATTTTTAAAAATTAATTTATTTTTAATAAATTTATTTTATTTTTGGCTGTGTTGGGTCTTCGTTGCTACGAGCGGGCTTTCTCTGGTTGCAGCAAGCAGGGGCTACTCTTTGTTGTGGTGTGCGGGCTTCTCATTGTGGTGGCTGCTCTTGTTGCGGAACACGGGCTCTAGGTGCGCAGGCTCAGAAGTTGTGGCGCACGGGCTTAGCTGCTCCGCGGCATGTGAGATCTTCCCAGACCGGGGCTCGAACCCATGTCTGCTGCATTGGTAGATGGATTCTTAACCACTATGCCACCAGGGAAGCCCAGTAAAAGCAATTTTAGAGAAAGAGGCGATGGAAAGAGAGCATGGAGGAGTGAGTGGGAGGTGAAGAAATAGAAGCAAAGAAAATATGTCCAGATAGTTGAAGATGCTTGACTGAGAAGGGAAGAGGCAGTGAAAGGAATGGAAGACCAAGGAAGTGATTTTTTTTCGGTGAGTGTCTTTAGGGGCTGTGAGGGATGGGTGACAAAACTGATGCAGAGGGGGAAGTTGAGGGCTTGAAAGGCCACAGGCTGCCTGACCCACTGTAAGCCCATGAAGCACCATCGCTGGATGTGAATGTCCACTTGGGGAATGACTATTTTAGATTCTTTAGAGTTCAAGTCTGCAGTGCAAATAACAGAATCAGGGTTTAGGGTCAGGGTTAGGGCTTAGCTTGTTCAGGGTCAGGAACTGATACGAGATGTTTAGGCTCAGAATGTGGGATTGTATAGGGTCAGAGTTAAGAATCAGTCTGGTTCTGGGATCAGATTAGGGGTCGATATCCAGAAGAGACAGGCTGATCTTTAGATATAACAAACCTGAGCTTCATTCTGTCTCTACTTTTTTTTTCTCCTTCTCCATTCTGTAGCTAATTTTCTTTCCTTCTATTCTTCATTTATCTCTCTCCCTCTTCCTCTCTTTTCTCCTCTCTCTTTTTCCTAACCCCCCTTTCTCTCCCCTCTATCTTTGCAACTCAAACTAGAAGAATGCAAACAGCTTTAAAAGTTATTTCTTTGACTGAAATTGACTTTAGACCCAACATGAATAATTTAGAAACCAAAGGAGCATTAGCTAGTTCAAGGCTCTACAAATAAATAAGCAAAATCTAAATTCCGATACTTTTTTTTAGCCCACAGTTGATTTTTTTTTTGCAATGAATCAGTGACTTGCAATTGATTTTTTTTTGGGGGGGTGGGAGGACTGGAACAGAACAAACTTTATTCAAGTACCAAAGAAAGGAGAAGCCGGAACTCAGTTTGCAAATTAATTTATCGGAAATTGATTTTTAAAACCTTGTAACCTTGTTTCACAAGTACAGTTAGGCAAAACCCTTAACTTCCTGTAAGAGGACATCAGACTTGGCTAATCCTCAACTGGTTCTGAAGAAGTAAAATCATGTGTTGATAAATGCAGATACATTTTAATATCAAACAGTAGGGTTAGTAAGCAATAGGCCATATAGGGAGTAGCCATAAATTATAAAAAAGAACAAACCATTTAAACCACAAAAGAATTATACTAGAAATTAACCCTAGCTTCCTTCCACCAAAATCTCCCAGTTGGAAATATAAAAAAGTACTTCTAAATAACTCCTGGGTGATTGTACTTAGAAAATAAAGGCAGTAACAGTGTCTATGTTTCAAACCCAGTATATTACAATATGGAACATCTTACAAGGTCCAATAGGATAATCACGGTGCAGAACTCCATGTTTTGGAGAAAATCTATGCCTTCTTCTGAAGATTGCAATCAGACATTTGGAAAGGGGCTCTAGGCTTATTACTGGGCCCCAGTGGAGTCTGGGTACCTGGTACACTGGAAACACTAATCCTAGTATGAAGGTGTTTGGAGCTGGGGTCTTTGGGAGGTCATTAGGTCATGAGGGTAGAACTCTAATGATGGGATTAGTGCCTGTATTAGTCAAGGTTCTCCAGAGAGACAGAAGCAGTAGGGTATATATGAATATATAGAAACAGATTTATTATGAAGAATTGGTTCATGCAATTATGGAGGCTAAGAAGTCCCAGGATCTGCTGTCTGTACATTGGAGGCCCAGGATAGCTGGCAGTACCAATTCAAACCTCAGGCCTGAGAACCAGGGGAGCCAATGGTGTAAGTCCTAGTCCAGGTTCAAAGGCCTGAAACAAGGAGGGCTGATGTCCCAGGGCAGGAGAAGATGTATGCCTCAGCTCAAGCAGAGAGCAAATTCTTCCTTCTTCTAGCTTTTTTTTTGTGTGTGTGGTACGCGGGCCTCTCACCGCCGCGGCCTCTCCCATTGCAGAGCACAGGCTCCGGACGCGCAGGCCCAGCAGCCATGGCTCACGGGCCCAGCCGCTCCGCGGCATGTGGGATCTTCCCGGACCGGGGCACGAACCCGTGTCCCCTGCATCGGCAGGCAGACTCTCAACCACTGAGCCACCAGGGAAGCCCTCTTCTAGCTTTTTGTTCTATTCAGGCCCTCAGTGGATTGGAAGAAGCCCACTCACTTTGGTGAGGGCCATCTTCACTCACTACACCAATTCAAATGCTATTCTCTTCTGGAAACACCGTCCCAGAAACTCCCAGAAATAATGTTTTACCAGCTATCTGGGCATCCCTTAGACCTGTCAAGTTGAACATTAACCACTGCAGTGCCCTTCCATGAAGAAGGAAGAGCTAGTTGGCTCTCTTTCAGCCATGGGAGGATACGATGAGGAATCTACCACCTGCAGCCCAGTAGAGGGCCCTCACCAGAACCTGATCACACAAGCACCCTGATCTGGGACTTCCAGCCTCCAAAACTGAGAAATAGTTCTGTTCTTGATAAGCCATGATATTTTGTTATAGAAGCTCAAACTGACAGTGACACCTGGCCACCAACACCAAGGGCATTGTTACCTGAACTGCACATCTCATACTGGGTGCAGTCGGGCTACCAAACCATGATGTTGGGCACACACAGCAGCGTCCACCATCCGTGGAAAAGGTGTATTTGAGATCAGGCTCAAGCAGGAATGGAGGGCACAGGTGGACACCCCAGCAGGTGGCTCAGGCACCCATGGCACCCACTCGTCCTGCCTCTTCCCCACCCACACCTATGAGCTCATGGGGATTCCCTGGGATCTGTTTACAGAGGACAGAAAGCACAGACTAGGTGTATGGATGGGACTGCAGTGTGGGCTGGCGCCAGGCAGAAGTGGGTAGCGGCTGTGTTAGCACTTGCACGTGTGGTCCTGAAAGAGCGATGCAAGGAAATCCTTCAGGGGGCAAAACTTCAGGGGTCCAGTATGTGGGAGGGAGAGAGGTCCTCAAGTCCACTTCTGCATGGACCCCCGGTGAGCCATTTGGTCAAGGACTTGGTAAGAATAAAAGCATCAAATGAAGACAGGGAGGATATGTGGATGGTCCTCTGGGGATGGGCACAGAGTGTGAAGATGTTCACGTCCCACACGAATGCCCACCAGAACCCATGCCCTGAGCATGGGTACCCTTGGTATCCTGTGGACAGTGTCAGGCGGCTTCTCTCCCATCAGTGCTTGCACGCTGGGCCCATGTGCAAAGTGGCCATGTGGGTGGTGGAGGCTCTGATTTTGGATAGACAGCAGTAAGTGATCTTGACACAGGATCTTATTTCCCTGCCCAGAAATTGAACTTGAGTAGCCTGGATGAAAACCAGGAATCCTAGCCCCTAGTCCACCAGGGGGCTAGAGGCTAGAAGTGAAGTTGCCCTGGCTCTTGCCCTGTTGTAACAAGAATGTTTCAAGGAGGCAAAAACAGGTACAGAGTTTGTTATTAGCAACACAGCACAACATGTGGGAGAGCACACAGAGAAACAGTTTATTTATATAAGACAGAAGCTAGGCAGAAATACACATCAGGAGAGAAAGGGTGTGGGCGTCCTCCCTCATGAGGAAGAACACAGTAAAGAGGTTGTTAAATCATTTATAGAGAGCAGTTCTTCTGGGTCGTTTTTCTCCTCTAGCCAATTATCTCGCTGCTTTTCCCACATCTGACCTGCCCTGGGACCCTTCCCAATAGGCGTGCACATCTTTTTGGCGAGATGGATTCCAGCACAGAGGCTAATGAGAGGTTTGACAGCACTTATTATGGGGTGGCACCCCTTCCCTTTTTGACCCTGAGGAGGCTTCCTGCGCATGTGCAGACAGGGAAGGTTTTCCTGGCCTCAGGAGTGATAGATGTGGTCATCTTATCTCTTTACTCCAGCAGAGCTCAACTCCTGCCACTAACTTTGTCCTTGGAGTGTCTAGGGAAAACAAAGTTCAAATTTACTCCTCTTGACAAACTCCAGCTGCTCTATCCAGGGCCCATCTATCTTCTACCTCTGCTCCCCATAGTGACGACAAATGGGCTAACTCTCCCCAAGGTGACCTGGCTGTTGACTGTACTCAGTGCCCAAACCAACAGAGGCAGAGGCCAACTCTAAGCCTGTTATGGCGTCTTTCTACAGCAGGACCACCCAGGACATACCCCACCCTCGAGCGGACTGAGCTCTCTCCCCACAGGGATAAATACACACTGTGGGTTCTGATTTGCCTTCCTCGTACCCAATGCTTCTGTCAACCTTGCCATTTGGGAACTTAGAAGATGTCTGTTCTACTGCTACAGTATCCCCTGAAGTATCGCTTCCAGCTAGAGGACATATTTTAAGGCAAAGGAAGTGAGGCAATTAACTCCCATCCATGGAGCTCACTGATCTTCCAGGTGCCCCACTACACAGAGACAGTTGACTTATCAGAAGGGTGGAATGGCCGTGATGGTTGATGAGGGCACCGGGTGAGAGAAGGTACCCTGCCACCCCACAGGAGATGCTGTATGTCTTGAATCAGTGGCCAGTCTATCGTGTCACCTCTCCCAGAGCCAGAATGCAGGGGTCCATGAATCGGGAGGATAAGGGAGTGTCCCCTCCCACTAGTACACCTAACAACCCGCTTGAAGAATTTTTGCTCCTGGTCTCTGTGACCTTGGGCTTGGTGTGGGTGAGGAACCCCATCAGAGCTCTAATCAATCGGAAGCCAGGACTGCCCCCGTTTTGTGCTCCTTGCGCTGCTGAAATAACAGGCAGAGACGAGGGCCACTCTGCTGATGGCCAGAGGGAACCTGACCACCAGAGGGAGGCTGGGTTGCTGGACCAAGGAAGACTATGTTTGGAAGCCAGGGGACGCGTTGGCGGTAATATCTCCTTGGCCGGTGGCCCTGTTCAGCAGAAAGTGGCCAAGAGCCAATAAAGACAAGACCATTGAACACTTACTTCCCTTAAGAATGAAGATTTGTGTCACACCAATTGTCCCGAGGAGGTGTTGGCAGGTGGTAAGAGAACGTAGAATGGGTGGTAGGAGAGGGCAGCTCTGATCACCACCAGCTACACAGTCAGGACCTTTTCATCTTCGTTACATGCTGTTTTTCCCCATCTTCCTCTCACTGTGGTACATGAAGAACTGGTTGTCTAACGCTGTGGGTGCAATATGGTAACGGATGGGAGTTGTGTCTTCTGTATTGAGGACTCTGATTTTCATCGGGACAAGGGAAAGGGGTGGCTGTGCTGGACACTTTCTGTTTCCTTCTTCAAATTCACTCTCTCAGCTTCTTCCCCTGCCCTGCGCTGTGGGGACTGTCAGTGGGATCTCCTGCCTTCCAGCTGGGTTCAGTCAATGGGGAGACCCAACAGGAAACCAGAGGGCGGACACTGAGTGAGGTTGGGGCATTAATTCCCCAGCTCCCTCCCTGTAGTGTTGCTGTGGGCTGGATGGATTTTTCAGCCTGAAGTTGGAGTTCCTGTCAAGTAGCCTTCTCCGGAGAGGATTCTCTCTATGTCTCTGTCTTGTAACTCCTCAGTGTTCCAGTACAGAAACCCAGTGGTGTCAGCACCAGGAAACTGCTCTCACCCTTGTGTCTCCATTAACAGTCACACACCCTTGCCAATTATCTCATTTTTAATCTCTTCTCAAGTTATGCAGGTGGAATGAGTCCCCTTTTGTGCTGGGGCCCTGACTGCTAGGTAGAATCCATATTGGTGTAGTGCACCTTCACCTCCCAGGTCATGGTGATGGGCAAATACCTTTGACTGCAGCACCCTGAAGGTTCTGCTACCATTGGAGCTGGAATGGAGATGCGCACCCGACCAGTGAAGGACAGGCTTTAGATGGTGAATCTCTCTCTGGTTTCTTTTCCTTCCCCTGTGCCAAACCTCTGGGTGTCCTACCCTATACCGTACATAGAGAAATCCTGTCATTGTGGGAAAAGATGGTGTCTTTATCATCAGACACATATGACCACTCCCTAAAAGTTTCTCCTACAGGGTGAGTTTAACTGCTCCTCAGTCCTCTCATATAGTTAGTTATGACCTTATAACTGGGATGCTGACCTAGATGGAAGGACCAGGGAAGACTTTCCTGAAGACAGACATCTAATGGAGAATGACCCAGACAGAGTTAACCTAGAGCTCACAAAGGGGCAGAAATGCATTCCAGGCAGAGGACACAGCATGTGCAAAGGCCAGGGGGTAGGAAAGTTGCGTGAAGTAAATGAGTTCAACTGACTCATTTGGGTGATTGAATGAGCTAAGACGCCTGAAGTGCCCAGTATGCAGTGAGGGCCACATAAAGGCCAACAGTCATTATTATTGCACACCAGTGGGCACACATCCAGGGTCTACCTATTTGGAAGTAGCAGTAATAGAGGAACAATATTCTCTCCGCCTGACTACACAGGCAATCCATAACATCAAGCCTTGATTACAGCTCTACTGAGGTATAATGGACAGGCAAGAAACCACACATATTTAAAGTACACAGTATAATGAGTTTTGATGTGCATACACACTCCATAAGTGTGGCATACACACACCATAGTTGAGACAGTGAACGTATCCATTCCACCCACAAGTTTCCACACGAGCCTTTGTAATCCCTCCCTCTGCACTCGGCACCCCCCAGCCCCCCAGTACCCAGGCAATCATTTACCTTCTTTCACTTACAATAGATTAGTTTGCACTTCTTAGAATTTATATAAATGGAATGTTATAGTATGTTCTCTTTTTTCATCTGGCTTCTTTCATTCAGTATAATTTTTTTATTGAGATGAAATTCACATAACATAAAATAAACCATTTTAAAGTGAACAATTCCGTGGCATTTCATGCAGTCGCAATGTTGTATGACCACCACCTCTATCTAGTTCTAAAACACTTTCATCACTTCCAAATAAAACTCTGTACCCATTAAGAGGTTGCCCTCCATTCCCCCAGCCCCCGACCCCTGCAAACCACCAATTATGTCTCTATGGATTTACTTATTCTGAATATTTCATATAAATGAATCATACAGTATGTGACTTTTTGTGTCTGGTTTCTTCCACTCCTAGGTATATACTCAAAAAAATTGAAAACTGATACTCAAACAAATACATGTACACATGTTATAGCAGCACTATTCACAATAGCCAAAAGGTGGAAATGGCCCAAATGTCTATCAATGGGTCAATGGATAAAAATTCTGGTATAAACATACATTGGAATAGTATTCAATCACAAAAAAGAATGATGCACTGATACATGCTACAACATGGATGAACCTCATAAATATACTAGGCAGAATCATTTTGAAGTTCATATTCAAATTTTTGCATGTATCAATAGCTCATTCCTATTTATGGCTGAGTAATAGTTCACGGTGTGGTTATATCCCAGTTTGGTTGCATTGTTTCACAGTTTGGGACCATTACAAATAAAGCTACTATTAACATTCATATGTCTTCGTGTGTCTTTATTTGGACATATGCCTCATATGCCTTTATTTCTGGGGAAGCTATTGCAAAACATCTGTTTAACAAAGGATTTGCAACTAGAATATACAAAGTGCTTACAACTCAATAAGAAGACAATAAAAAAATGGGCAAAATGTTTGAACAGGCACTTCACCAACGAAGATACATGGATGGTGAATAAGCACGTGGAAAGATGCTCGATAGCATTAGTCACTAGAAAAATACAAAATAAAGCTACAATGAAAAAAAGAAGCTACAATGAGATACCACCATGGAACTCTTAGAATGGCTAAAAGGGAAAAGAATGACTATACCAAGTGTTGGCAAGGATGTGGAGAAACTGGAACCTCTCACACACTGCTGGTGGGGAACGTAAAATGGCACAACCCCTTTGGAAAACAGTCTGACAGTTTCTTAAAAACTTAAGCATAGGGCTTCCCTGGTGGCGCAGTGGTTGGGAGTCCGCCTGCCGATGCAGGGGATGCGAGTTCGTGCCCCGGTCCGGGAAGATTCCACATGCCGCGGAGCGGCTGGGCCCGTGAGCCATGGCCGTTGAGCCTGCGCATCCGGAGCCTGTGCTCCGCAAAAAAACTTAAGCATATGCCTACCATGTGACTCAACAATTCCATTCCATTTCTATATTACTTCAATTAACGTGAAGTCAAGTGGAATTATCTTGAAAGATTTTTGCCTGACAACTGATGTTATTGATGAAGGTGAGTGCCTTCTCAGCTCAAACCACTGTGGTTGTACGTTGCTTGGTGGCTTCTAGGAAAGATGGCTTTCTCCACAGTGCTGTAAACACTAAGATGTTAGTCCTGCCGCTGCAGTGTTGGACTTTATCCTTCCCTGTTTCTTCCTGTGTGATGAAAAGACTGAAAACCATGCCTCATTTTAATTAGGAGGAGACTGAAGGCAAGAAAGAGGAAGTAAATTGTTCAGATCAGAGTGAAACAATGTCTGGCCTAGAATCTCAGCCTCTTTACTAAAAGCTCACAATTTCCAGGTATCACAGCTCCCCTTCTCCTCACACACTAGGAATATTTTTTTTCCTAGGACTTGGAAGGTTTAGTGTGAGATTGGCTTCCAAAGGGTTAATCTATCCACCGTGCCTCCAGCACTGGAGGATATTGACAGGAGTCAATGCCAGTAGCTGTATTCGATTTTTACTTGTTTTTGTTCCTCTGGTGAGTACAGAAAGGCCGATAAAGATATTTAAGTGTAACTTTTCATCACATGCTACGGATCCCTCCTCTTTATAACATAAGGTCCTGTACTGTAATCTGAATGTGAACTGTTTCGCCATACGAATAATTTTTCTTTGCTGGAGAAAACTGGGTGCTCATCAGATGAGACTGGAAGTATATCATTCAGATGACTCGACCATCTTCGGGGAGCTTTGGTGCAGTGGGACAGAGTGCAGGTTGCTGGGAACGCCCGGGCTCCCGGATGCTGCCACCATTTCCTGACTCCGTGACTCGAGCGCTCATTCTCCCTTGTCAGGGCTGTTTCCCACTTCATGAGGTGGGTTAATAGTATCAGCTCTGAGGGATGAGCCACCCGAGTGGAAGGGCTTTGCATAACAGGCAGCGCAGGGCAGGTGGAGAAGCTCGACCCAAGTGTAATCTGTGTCGATAAGGGAAGATTCTCTGGAAACGGTGTGTACAAGGAAATAAAAGGGTCTTATTGGTGGAGACTGGGATGTTCACATAATTAGCCAATAACGCAACAAACTGACATTACGAACCTCTGGATGTGATGCAGTAGAAAAGACGCAACGTCACTCACGTAGAATATTGTCATCAACAACTAAAATGACTCTCATCCTGCAGAAACAGACAAACCCAGGTTGTAGAGACCCAGAGGGGATGTACTTGTTCCTCACAGCATTCAGGGAGTCCCGGGGCAAAGAAAGTGTCTTTGTTGGAAATAAATATGGAAGAAGCCCCACCCAAGTGCTAGAGGGTCTGCTTTGTCCTCATAGGTAAATATCGAAGCACATTCTGGCATGACCCGGGCTTCTCATACCTGCTGAACCCATTGGCCAGCTCTGAAAGAGAAAGCAGAATGAGTCGGCCAAAGTGTGGACTGAGGGGCCCAGAATTGATTTTAGCTCAACCAGAGCCTGAAACAGAGGTCTTGGCAAGCTCCTTTCCCTCTTTTAGTTTCTGGATCCTTTTCTACAAGAGGCACAAGGAATAGTTGCAATTGTTGCTCTTAATAGGGAGAGGAAAGGAATGAGAAGGGAAGGGAAGGAAAAGGAAGGGTAGGGAAAAGAAAAGAACCAGTACTGGTAATGCTACAAGCTACAAGTAATGCTACAAGTAATGCTACAAGCACTTAGCACAAGAAGAATCTCTGTCTCAGGCTCTTCTTCTAGGACATCCATCCCAAGGAAAGCACTTTCTGGCTGTGTGTATTAAAAAATTCTAGTAGCTGAAACAGATATATTATCAAACTAAATTTCTGTGGTTTAACATAATAGATGTTTATTTCTCACTTGTATCACATTTACTTGATGGAGTATTTGAGGAAGGAGGTGGCACTCCTGCTTTGTAACCACTGAGGTTCAAAAGTGATACCAGTCATTTCTGCCCACATTCCATTGGTGGGGACTAGTCACTTAGAGGCAAGGGAGGCTGGGAAATGTAATTCCCCTGGCTAGGCAGTTGCCACGTAGTAACATCTTTACACCCTGAAGGGAGCATGGATCTTTGGTGGGCAGTTATCTCTGCCACATTGTATGACCTTGGGCAAGTTATTTAACTCCTTTGGGGCTCAGTTTCTTTAACTATAAAATCAAGCTATTAATAGAATCTCCCTCAGGGTATGAGTCACGATTCAATGAGTTGAAACAAAAAGTGCTTGGGGGCTTCCCTGGTGGCGCAGTGGTTGAGAGTCCGCTTGCCGATGCAGGGGACACGGGTTCGTGTCCCGGTCCGGGAAGATCCCACATGCTGCGGAGCGCCTGGGCCCGTGAGCCATGGCCGCTGAGCCTGTGCGTCCGGAGCCTGTGCATCCGGAGCCTGTGCTCCACAACGGGAGAGGCCACAACAGTGAGAGGCCTGCGTACCGCAAAAAAACAAAACAAAACAAAACAAAAAAAAACGTGCTTGGACTAGGGTTGGAACAGAGTAAAGGCTCATAACATTAACTATTTTTATCGTTTGTTGAGAACCTACTTTGGGTTATATCCAGATATTAATCCTCACCACAACCCATGAGGTGCAGGTAACCATTACAACTACTTTACAGGAGAGGATGATGAAGTTCAGAGAGGGAAAGTAAGTGACCCAAGGCTACACAATCAGGGAGCAACAGAATCCGGTCTGGTAGCAAACAGTTTTACACACCGAGGACTGTCAGACCTTTTGCTAAACAGCCCCACATCCAGACTTTGCATAAGTCACTGGAAATATAACGACTCCCAGAAAGGTTGCCTTAATAACCCAACTTAGTCATACGTTGCTGGGCCCCTGCCAGCCTTTCCTCCCTCATCTTCTATCACTCTCCCTCTTACCCACCATAGTCTAGCCATTTGCTTTCTTTCTAACCTTCACATAAGCCAAGCTAGATCGCACCTCAGGGCCTTTGTACCTGCTTTCACCTCTGCCTGGAATGCTCTTCCTGCCTGTCTTTCCACGGCAAGCTTTTTCTTTTCATTCTGCTTTCAGCTCAAATGTCACCTCCCCAGGGAGGCCCTCCCTGATCCCAGCTCAGTCACTCACTTTCACATCACCTGGTTTTCACTCTCTGCCCAGCACCCAGCACCATTTGTTTTGGGTTTTTTTTGGTGCTCATGTATTTGTTTAGTGTCTGTCTCTCTCTCTAGACTGTGAGTTCAACAAAAACAGTGGCTTCATTCTTATTGGTCTTCCTGATTCCCCAGAAATTAGGACAGTACCAGACACAGACTCCAGCCTGGTAAATATCTGTTGACTAAAATCAAACACTTAATTGAGGCCTATGACCTTATGTGCCTCTTTGCCCACCCTTCCTTCTCTTCTTCCAGGGACATTGCGTCAGGCCACACACAACTCCAGAGGGTGCCATTCACACAGCAACAATGTGGATCACTGGGGAGGGGGTGATGTTTCTTTAGTGCACAACCTAGACAAATGTGGTGATGGCACTGTTACATCCTTCCTTCCTTCCTTCCCTCCTTCCTTCCTTCCTTCCCTCCTTCCTTCCTCCCTCCCTCCCTCCCTCCTCTCCCTCCTTTCCTTCCATCCTTCAATAAATATTTATTGAGCACCTATGCTATTCCATGTTAATAGTGGAGACACAGCGGGACATGAGAGGAACGTGCCTCTGTCCATGGAGCAAATTTTAAACTTGCAAACACAAAGAAAAATACAATGTATAAAGATGTTGAAATAAACATATAATTGCAAGTTTCATGTTCATTTCTCTTTGTCCTCTACTATTAGTCTCACTTTTTTTTTTTTTTTTGCTGTACGCGGGCCTCTCACTGTTGTGGCCTCTCACTGTTGTGGCCTCTCCCGTTGCGGAGCACAGGCTCCAGACCCACAGGCTCCAGACCCACAGGCTCCAGACACACAGGCTGGGCGGCCATGGCTCACGGGCCCAGCCGCTCCGCGGCATGTGGGGTACACGAACCCGTGTCCCCTGCATCGGCAGGCAGACTCCCAACCACTGTGCCACCAGGGAGGCCCTATTCTCACTCTTTTCTCCCTTTCCCCTTTCTCACACACCCACATCTGGCCTCTGCAGCCACCGACAGACACTCCTGATTCTTCCCTGTCTCCCTCCTACCCAGCATGCGAGAGCTAGTTTGTGCAGGCTTGCAAAAACCGATTGTTAAATATTTAGGAATTTTGCGAGCTGGCTGTTAAATGATTACTAGCTTAAAATCAGACATGGTAGGAGTATTTACAGCATAGAAATAGGCCGATGTTCCGAGGCAGGGTTTGTTGATGCGGTTTTTCTGAAAAGCTGGTCTTCTAGCACACCACTGTTCCATCTATTTCTGGCAAAGACACTTTGCTTTGCTGAGGAATATCCTAATTCTTTGATAGAGATTCAGTCTCTACCCCTCCCCCCACCCCACCATTCCTCAGCTCCCTCCTGGGTGGCGGGGAGATGGAGATTCTAGGGCCTGTGTTGTGCTGGGAGGGGAGAGAACAGTAAAAGAAGAGAAAGCATGAGGGAAGTAAGTGAAAAAGAGAATAAAAAGGACAGCAGTATAGAAAGGAAAGAGAAAGAAAAGGGAAGTAGCAGGAGGGCAGAGGTTAGGATAGGGAGAGCGTAACGACCAGCCAAGACTCACCTCACAGTGTCTTCAGGGGCACTTGGGCCATTTCCTCACTTGGGGCCAGAAGGTGGCCAAGTTGCTATGAGATGAGGAAACCGCCTTCACAAACTGTCCTGAAACAGGATGTGGGTGGGGACCCCCACAGCTGGGCTCTGGAGGAAAGAGGGCTGGGGACCTGGGCCGGTGAGGTCTAGGAGCCAGGATGCCTCCATCTCTAACTGTGGAAGGACTGGGGGCCCAGACTCCTGGGTCTGGGGAAGGAGGGAGGACCCAGACTCCCCCTCGACCTCACTCGCCAACCCTCCAGCCCCCACCCTTCCCCACCCCTGCTGCCTTTAAGGTGTTGAGACTCAGACAGAGGCCCAGGCCGCATTTAGCAAGTCCCTACCCTCCCCACCCCTTTCCTGGACTGCCTTGAGTGAGGCGAGATATAAAAAGGAGGAGAGAGCAGGAGTGAGGGTTCCAGCTGCCCTGATCATGAGCCCTTTCCTGCTGCTGGCCCTCCTGGGCATCACCGTGCCCCGTGAGTGAGGACCTCAGACGGGAGGGGACTCTGGAGGATGAGCTAAGACTGATTGGCTCTTCCCATCTCAGGAGTGCAGGCCCTGACCTGCTACTGGGGGACACTGGCGTCTGTGAAGAATGCATCGGAACTGCCCCTCCAGTGGACGACTAGCCGGAAGCACTGTGAGGAAGGCTGGAGCTGCCAGGAGGTTCTGATGCTGATGGAGAACGGTAAGGAGGGCCCGTGGGCCCCCGCCCGACTCCCACCCTCTCCTGTGCAGAGACGCTCCTATTGCCCCCGCTCCTACCGGCATATTCTGTGTACAAACTCGAAAGCCTGCTCCCCCCAGTACCAGGAGCTGTTCCCTCCTCGGCTACCCCGTGGCCTGCTCTGCAGCCTCTCACCCCAGAGCACGAGGCACATCCACCCTCTAGTCATGACCTCACCCTGGCCCGTCTCTCTCTCTTGGTCCAGGACCCCAAGTGTACGTGGTGCTCATCAAGGGCTGCACCCAGGCAGCCGATCACGAGGACCTCATCACCCAGCACAGGGCAGGCCCCGGCGTGTCCATCGCCTCCTACACCCGGGTGTGCCGGGAGGACTTGTGCAACCATCTGTCCACCAGCCTCCCTCTCTGGGCCCCGCACCCACCCACAGGTGCCGGAGGGAGAGGAGGAGGGTGTTTGGGAGGAGGGAAGCCATGGGGCTGAGGCGTTGGGGTGAGCACGCTGGGGATGCTCCTTTAGAATCCCTCCCTGCCCACCTTCCCCAGCACAGCTTCTTCTAACAGTCCCGGAGCAGAAAACTGGACCGCTTTTCCCATGTTCAACCACCCACCTCCGACTCTGGCTCCGGCCCTGACTTGGTGCCAGCTCCTTCTTTCCATCCCGCTGGATTTGGTCCACGCGTGTTCTAGTCAGGGTTCTGGCATTTCCTCCTCCTAAGTGAAACGGGCCTGTGACTTCCCACTGTTTTTTTCTGTCTGAGACCGTAAATCAGGTTTGGGGCTGTGTTCTGCATTTCTCTACTCTTTGGCATCTTTTGTGGACATGGGCGTCTTGTCTTCTTGGACTGTTTAGTGGAACTTGTGGGTGAAGCCACTGGGTCCTCCCCGGGCACCACTCCCTGACTCGTACCACCTCCTGTGCTCAGTCCCAGACGCCCCTTCCCAGATCTCACGTCCCCTCCTCAACCTTGCTGTCTCTCTAGCTCATGTTCCAAATGCCCTGCACCCCAGGCCTTCATGAGAAGAGCTTGAGGAGGGCACATTTGGGGGACACTAGGGAATTGATTCTTGGGGACCAGCAAAATGGGGGAGGGGTGGAGGGAAGGCTCATGGTCTGAATTCAGAGCCTTCTCAGTCCTGCCTCCCTTTCTCTGTCACCTCCCCAGCCCTGGGGTCTGTGCGGTGTCCAGTCTGCTTGTCTGCCCAAAGCTGCCGGTCTGCAGCAGAGCTGACCTGCCCCGCCGAGAGCACACACTGCTACAGTGGGCACCTTCTGCTCAGTGCTGGTGAGCTGGACCAAGATTTGAGTCTCTGGGGAGGAAAGGGAGCTGAGGTCTGGGACCCGGAGGAGGGTGGGCCTGGCTTCCCAGAGCTGCGCCTCCCGCATGAGGGATGGATGGTCCCAGCAGCAGTGTCTCCCTCTCTCCCCTCCTCTCACTTTCCACAGGGAACCGCTCCACCCATCTGAGAGTCCAGGGGTGCATGTCCCAAGCAGGCTGCAACCTGCTTAATGGGACTCGGGAAATCGGGCCCATCAGTCTGCAGGAGACCTGTGATTCTGAAGGTGAGTGTCATACCCACAAGACCAAATGCCCTGCGCCGCGGCCTCGGGCCATGATGACCCTGTGAAAGGCGGACATCCAAACACATCCCACCAAAGCCAGCATCACGTCGTTCAGATATTTATTACTCACTCAGGCAGATGTGATGTAAGGGGTTCTCCCAGTAGGCGCTTCAGGTGGGGATGCCAGTAAGAGGTGTCCAGCTTAAGGGGAGACAGAGGGTGCATGGTCCAGGGGACATATCTATAGGATAGGAATCCACTGGTGGGTGTTTTATTTGTTTTTGTTTTTTTGCGGTACGCGGGCCTCTCACTGCTGTGGCCCCTCCCGCCGCGGGGCACAGGCTCCGGACGCGCAGGCTCAGCGGCCATGGCTCACGGGCCCAGCCGCTCCGCGGCATGTGGGATCTTCCTGGACCGGGACACGAACCCATGTCCCCTGCATCGGCAGGCGGACTCTCAACCACTGCGCCACCAGGGAAGCCCCTGGTGGGTGTTTTAAATGATGCTGGGCCTGTCCAGGTGGGAGAGGGGCAGGGGAGCAGGGAGGAAGGCCAGAGGGGCAGAGAGGGTGGGCTGCCTCGCGTGCCACTCTGTCCATTGGCTGGAGAAGTGAGTGCAGGTGTGCCGGCTGGTTTCCTTGCTGGGCGTGACTTACTGCTTCCAATTCTACTTCTCCACACCCCGGACCTTGGGTAAACCTGGGTCTTCCACTTCCCCTTGACCACCCTCACCCATCCCCCACCCATGGTACGAGAGCACCCCAGCAGCCATGCTGCAGAGAAAAAAGATCAGAGAGGATATCAAGGGTGCTTCAGGTGTGACAGGAAAAGTAAGAGCCAGACGGGGACACGGGGAGGGTCCCCACTTCCCCATGGAAACCCAGCCAAACCGAACACCGGTGGATGAGAGTGGCCTAGAGTGTCTTGCTGTGAAGCACCTGCCCTGGCGAGGTGGGGAGTGGGGTCTTAGGAAAGTGGGAGAAGGGTCTTCCCTGTCCGAGCTTCAGGGAGAGAGTTGAGTGAGTTCCTCTTGTTTGGATCTCTCTGGCTGGACTGGGAGCCTTGAGGACAGAGCCTAGATGTCACTGACGCCAGGCTTCCAGCCTCGGGCAGCACAAGGGCTGGCTGAGGATGGGCACCCAGGATGCGTTTGCTGACGTGAGTTTGTACAGGATTCCAAGGTCTGTGGAGACCCCAGAGGACTCAGACCCTGGCCCTGCCCTAAAGGGCTTCCAGGACCGAGAAGGGAGACATCGCAGACACAGATGGTCACAGGGCTGTCATGGAAGTGGGTCTGCGGGGGCCTCAGAGAAGGATGATACTGATGTCCTGGGAGGGGCGAATCAGGGAGGGCTTCACAGAGGAAGTGACCTATGAGCCGTGTCTTAAAGATGAGCTGCAGTTTATTCACAGAAGAGGAAAAGGACACGAACAGGCAGAGGAAACGGCTTGGAGGTGGGTGCAGCCCGCTGGTTTGAAGAGGGGTCCCTCGGCTCTGCCTGAGGAGGGGCTCATCGAGAGGATGGGGTGCAGCTGGGGGTGGTGGGTGATCACAAGTTTTCCAGGTGGACAAGGTGAGTGTGGGCCATGAAGGCAGAGCCGTTCCAAGCAGAAGGAACAGCGGGTGCCAGGCCAAGGAGGCAGGAAATGCCCTGCTGTGTCTTGGGAATGGATATTGTTGGGGGAGCCGAGAGGTAGGCGGGGGGGTCCTGGTGGCGGGTCAGGTGCCTGCCCAGCCAGACTGAGGAGCTGGCCTTTCTGCTGAGGGCAGTGGAGCTGTGGAAGGGTGTTGAGCAGAGGAGGACAGAGTCTGAATCTTTCCTTCTCATTAATGTTGGTTTACTTATCTGGCCTTCGTCTCTGGGACTAGGTAACATTCATAATTCAGAAGGCGTTTCCGAAACAGATCAGATGCGCGCCACACACACCACACACCATAACGCACACAATACACTCAGGAGACACAAACACACACTGTGCCAAGTACACACCACACCTCACATACCGCACACGGGCCTCCTTAAACCTCACACATCCGCACGCACCACAGACTTCACACACTACATATAGCACATGCCACACCCAGCACACAGACCACACTTCACACGCCGCGGACAGCACACACAAACAAAACACAGGTACACAGGACACACACCACGCCACACCCATGCAACAAACATATACCACATACCTCACCAACACACTGTACACACACGTCACATAGCATACACACACCATACACATTTCACACATTCCCACACTACCCCACACACCCCACATACCCACTACACATCTACATACATCCCATATATGTACGCCCCCAAACCACACACGTCACATAAAACACAGCCATTAGGCCACAAATGGATATCCCTAATATATGTCCATATTCTGTTGCCTTTCAGCATCAGAGCCAGATCTTGGACGGTGCATTTGTCTTCCCTGGTTAAGTTCAGTTCGGTAGTTTAGCAAATGTCTGTTGAGCATCGGCAAGGCCAGGCATGAGAAGATGGGGTACAGTGAGATGTCAGGGAGTAAGTGGAGGACAGAAGGGCATCTCAGGGAGCTAGAACAGCTTCTGGAAGAATGGGGGAAGGAGAGGACTGGGTGCCAGGACTGGGTGCAAAATGGACCACCGCAGGAGCCCAGACTAAAGAAGAACCAAAGGGCTGGGATTTTAACAGCCTTGACTCTCCCCCTAAGGAATAGGATGGTGGTCCCAGTGAGAGCAGTGGGTCACACAGTCAGGGAGAGCACAGCCTTTAAGGGCTTAGCGTGTGAATCAGAAAGACGTGGGTTTCTGTCTGGGCTCTGCCGCTGAACCAGCTTTTCAGGATTACCACCTCTTTGAGCCTCTTTCACCAAGTTCAGGGAGGGGGAGATAACCCCAGACAGTCAGGGGTCGCAGAGTATACAAAGGCCCTGGGGTGGTATGTGCCTGCCATGTGTTCAAGGAAGAATCCAGAGGCCAGTGTGGCTCCAGCAGAGTGATCAAGGGGAATAAAGATATTTAAAAAAAGAAAAGAAAAGAAAATGGGGATGACGAGGATAACACCATCTGCTTGGTGCGGGGCGGGGGCCAGGGGGCCAGGAGGAAATGAGGCAATCCAGGCGAGGCAAGCTCCTTGGGAGGCTTAAAGGGGTTAACCCCTGGAAAGTAGTCATGGCAGCCGGGCACCTCAGTTAAATGTTCAGTGCGCACGAAGCGTCTGAGTATTTTTGTTTGGAACATAGGGCTTCTCAGTTAAAAGAAATCTGCGGTGTCAGGCTGCCCTCCTTATTTTCCAGATAAGGACCCTGAGGCCCAGAGAGGGAAGTAGAGATTGGCTCTTGCTAAGGAAGAGCCATCCATCTCTCTCACACCCAAAGGGAGGAGCAGCCGTCCCCAAGGGGGGTTGGGAAAAGCCCCTGCGATGTTCCAGCAAGAACAGGGGAAAAAACTGGGGGTGGGGCTCGGACTTCCTGTGTCCCTGCTAATCTGAGGTTGAGGCACCCAGCGGCTAGATGGCTTGGAGGGTGAGTCAAGAACGTGACCATCTTCCCAAGCGCAGGACCAGGCAGGCCCCTGAATCACCCAGACCCTGGTCATTCCTTCTCCGCAGCTATGCTGACCTGTCATCGGGGGGTCATGCTTCGGACTTCTCAAGACCTGACTCAGAAACCTGTCACGTGGTCCGCGAATACGGAGCAGCTGTGTAATCGTGGGGAGGTGTGTCAGGAGACGCTTCTGCTCATAGATGTAGGTGTGTGGGCTGCCCAAGAGGGCAAGACCCCCGCACGGGGTCCTGCGTCTCGCTGCCCTGGATTCTGTGCCCTGAATCTCCTGCCAGGTTCCCCTCACGCTTGCAGTTCTAAACCCAATTCTCCCTCTTTCTGCACCTTGTTTTCCCCTTCTGAAACCAAGGGGGCGAGGTGATGGCGATCATAGTACCTACCCTGCTGTGTGGTCGCTAGGCTGTATCCGGTAGTCCAGGCAAAGGGCTGAGAGAGCTGGCACAGAGCAACCTCAGTGGCTGTATTCAAGGTCTAATGAGCTGCCCGTTGTGTGCCAGGCACTGTTTTAGGTGCTGTAGATCCCATCGCATCTGCCTTCTTGCCACTTTACGTGCCAGTGGGGAAGCAGAAGAAAAAAAAAAAAAAGAGTAAGATATGCCTATGGAGGTAAGAGCTATGGAAATTAATCCAGCAGGGAAAGGAGATAGGGAGAGTGAGGTAAAGGTGGTAATTTGCTCTCTGAGGATGCTCTAGTGAGAAGGTGACATTTGAGCGAGAACTGAGAGGTGGCAGAGCTGGGGGAGGACCCAGGCTCTGGCCCTGGTCTTCCCCGTGCACTCACCGGGACTTGTGCTCCCGTCCTCAGAGGACCCGCATCCCGCCTCTGCCTGCTGTGCACCGAGGAACCCCTGGCTCTGCCGCCTTCCGAGTCTCCCCTCCCCCCACCCAGCTTTCACTCTGTCACCCCTCAGGACTCAGATCGCTCCTGGTGGGGAGCAAAGGCTGCAGCAAGGCCAGGACACAGGATTCCCAGGCTATCTCCATACACTCGGGGCCGCCCGGAGTGCTCGTCGCCTCCTTTGCCCGGTTCTGCACTTCCGACAAGTGCAACTCGGCTGCCAGCAGCAGTGTCCTGTTGAACTCCCTCCCTCGTCCAGGTGTGGGACCCCAGCGGGCTGGGTGGGACCGGGGGTGGGGAGAGATGGGGCCCCAGAGATACACTCTGGGGCTCAAGGAGGGTGGCTAAGAGCTAAGAGCAGAGCTGTGCGCCCCCAACTTTCTCTCTGCTCCCCAGCTGCCCCTGCCCCGGGAGACCTGCAGTGTCCCACCTGTCTGTCCGTCTTTGGATCCTGCACACAAAACTCTGATACTGTGATGTGTCCTAAGGGCACCAGTCATTGTTACCAGGGTCACATTGCTCTCAGGGGAGGTGAGTGCTGAAGGTCAGGTCCCAAGGATGAAGGGGCTGGGGGCCTCAATTCACTGGTCCTGAGGTGGGAGGGTGCTTGAGACCCTGGCTTATGCGTTTGAGGGTGGAGGGGGCTGGGGACCCAGATTTTCTAGGTCGGAGGGAGGAGGGGCCTAAGAGCCTGGTCTCTTGGTCTGACGGGGGGAGGGTCTAGGACTCCGAGGGTTTAGGAATTTAAGCTGAGGAAACCTGAGCCCTCTCTGACTCATATTCACTCTCCAGGTGGGCTGAGCTCCCCAGTGGACATCCAGGGCTGCGTGGCCCAACCTTCCAGCTCCTTATTGAACGGTACCCAGAATATCGGGGTCTTTTCTGTGATTGAGGATCGTGATGAGGCTACAGTGCCAAATGGAGCTGCCCCTACCCTAGTGCCAGATGGAGCTGCCCCTGCCCCCTACCTGGCTTGGGTGGCAGGGCTGGGACTATCCCTAGCCCTTTGGTGTGGGGCGCCCTCCCTGCTGACCCCATTTCCCCATGATTCTTAGGCCTTGCTGACCCCCTAGCCCAAACCCTCCCTCTGACCTCATAACTAAATAGCCTTGGACACGGAATTATTTCCCAGTCCTCTACACGAGTTATCACCCACACCCACCCCACGTACTGTATGACCTGATGACAGGGCCTCGGAGCAGCTGAACTTGCCCTGCGGGAGGGTGGACATTCAAGCAGTGGCCCCGTGTGTGTGTGATAATAAAGACATTGTCCTTTCCCCCAAATGCTGGGGTTTCCCTACGTGAGGGGAGGGGAGGGTTCCCAGAGATCTGGCATGAGGGAGGAGAGGAATCCGGTGACAGATTGACCATCTCAGGCTGTCCTTTACTGATCTGGTCCACATCCCCATTGGACCCCACTGGGCGGCGGCAGAGTCTTCAGCTTGCCGCAAGTAAAAGCATTTGGGCATCGCCATGACTTGGGAGGCGAAGGTGCACCGGGACCAATGAGGCTTCTATCCCAGTAGCCAGGGCCTCAGCACCAACAGCGGGCTCACCCCACTTGAATAACGTAAGGGTCTGTGTGAAGCAGAGAAACAAGAGGCTTTGCACGGTTTCCTGAGGCTGATATCATTGGGGCTGTTATCATCCTAGGTCTGAAACACTGAGGAGAAGTCATGACCGTTACTAGGATCTGGAGGGGGTGGTGTTTACAGAACGCTGCCTGACAGGATCTCTGATCCCAGGCTGAAAACCCATCCAGCCCACAGCGACACTACAGGGAGGAATTAATGCCCCAACCTCACTCAGTGTCCGCCCTCTGGTTTCCTGTTGGGTCTCCCCATTGACTGAACCCAGCTGGAAGGCAGAAGATCCCACTGACAGTCCCCACAGCGCAGGGCAGGGGAAGAAGCTGAGAGAGTGAATTTGAAGAAGGAAACAGAAAGTGTCCAGCACAGTCACCCCTTTCCCTTGTCCCGATGAAAATCAGAGTCCTCAATACAGAAGACACAACTCCCATCCGTTACCATATTGCACCCACAGCGTTAGACAACCAGTTCTTCATGTACCACAGTGAGAGGAAGATGGGGAAAAACAGCATGTAACGAAGATGAAAAGGTCCTGACTGTGTAGCTGGTGGTGATCAGAGCTGCCCTCTCCTACCACCCATTCTACGTTCTCTTACCACCTGCCAACACCTCCTCGGGACAATTGGTGTGACACAAATCTTCATTCTTAAGGGAAGTAAGTGTTCAATGGTCTTGTCTTTATTGGCTCTTGGCCACTTTCTGCTGAACAGGGCCACCGGCCAAGGAGATATTACCGCCAACGCGTCCCCTGGCTTCCAAACATAGTCTTCCTTGGTCCAGCAACCCAGCCTCCCTCTGGTGGTCAGGTTCCCTCTGGCCATCAGCAGAGTGGCCCTCGTCTCTGCCTGTTATTTCAGCAGCGCAAGGAGCACAAAACGGGGGCAGTCCTGGCTTCCGATTGATTAGAGCTCTGATGGGGTTCCTCACCCACACCAAGCCCAAGGTCACAGAGACCAGGAGCAAAAATTCTTCAAGCGGGTTGTTAGGTGTACTAGTGGGAGGGGACACTCCCTTATCCTCCCGATTCATGGACCCCTGCATTCTGGCTCTGGGAGAGGTGACACGATAGACTGGCCACTGATTCAAGACATACAGCATCTCCTGTGGGGTGGCAGGGTACCTTCTCTCACCCGGTGCCCTCATCAACCATCACGGCCATTCCACCCTTCTGATAAGTCAACTGTCTCTGTGTAGTGGGGCACCTGGAAGATCAGTGAGCTCCATGGATGGGAGTTAATTGCCTCACTTCCTTTGCCTTAAAATATGTCCTCTAGCTGGAAGCGATACTTCAGGGGATACTGTAGCAGTAGAACAGACATCTTCTAAGTTCCCAAATGGCAAGGTTGACAGAAGCATTGGGTACGAGGAAGGCAAATCAGAACCCACAGTGTGTATTTATCCCTGTGGGGAGAGAGCTCAGTCCGCTCGAGGGTGGGGTATGTCCTGGGTGGTCCTGCTGTAGAAAGACGCCATAACAGGCTTAGAGTTGGCCTCTGCCTCTGTTGGTTTGGGCACTGAGTACAGTCAACAGCCAGGTCACCTTGGGGAGAGTTAGCCCATTTGTCGTCACTATGGGGAGCAGAGGTAGAAGATAGATGGGCCCTGGATAGAGCAGCTGGAGTTTGTCAAGAGGAGTAAATTTGAACTTTGTTTTCCCTAGACACTCCAAGGACAAAGTTAGTGGCAGGAGTTGAGCTCTGCTGGAGTAAAGAGATAAGATGACCACATCTATCACTCCTGAGGCCAGGAAAACCTTCCCTGTCTGCACATGCGCAGGAAGCCTCCTCAGGGTCAAAAAGGGAAGGGGTTCCACCCCATAATAAGTGCTGTCAAACCTCTCATTAGCCTCTGTGCTGGAATCCATCTCGCCAAAAAGATGTGCACGCCTATTGGGAAGGGTCCCAGGGCAGGTCAGATGTGGGAAAAGCAGCGAGATAATTGGCTAGAGGAGAAAAACGACCCAGAAGAACTGCTCTCTATAAATGATTTAACAACCTCTTTACTGTGTTCTTCCTCATGAGGGAGGACGCCCACACCCTTTCTCTCCTGATGTGTATTTCTGCCTAGCTTCTGTCTTATATAAATAAACTGTTTCTCTGTGTGCTCTCCCACATGTTGTGCTGTGTTGCTAATAACAAACTCTGTACCTGTTTTTGCCTCCTTGAAACATTCTTGTTACAACAGGGCAAGAGCCAGGGCAACTTCACTTCTAGCCTCTAGCCCCCTGGTGGACTAGGGGCTAGGATTCCTGGTTTTCATCCAGGCTACTCAAGTTCAATTTCTGGGCAGGGAAATAAGATCCTGTGTCAAGATCACTTACTGCTGTCTATCCAAAATCAGAGCCTCCACCACCCACATGGCCACTTTGCACATGGGCCCAGCGTGCAAGCACTGATGGGAGAGAAGCCGCCTGACACTGTCCACAGGATACCAAGGGTACCCATGCTCAGGGCATGGGTTCTGGTGGGCATTCGTGTGGGACGTGAACATCTTCACACTCTGTGCCCATCCCCAGAGGACCTTACACATATCCCCCCGTCTTCATTTGATACCTTTCTTCTTACCAAGTCCTTGACCAAATGGCTCACCAGGGGTCCATGCCGAAGTGGACCTGAGGACCTCTCTCCCTCCCACAAGTGGACCCCTGAAGTTTTGCCGCCTGAGGGATTTCCTTGCATCGCTCTTTCAGGACCACACGTGCAAGTGCTAACACAGCCGCTACCCACTTCTGCCTGGCGCCAGCCCACGCTCCAGATCTATACGTACACCTAGTCTGTGCCGTCAATCCCCCTGTAAACAGATCCCAGGGAATCCCCATGAGCTCATAGGTGTGGGTGGGGGAAGAGGCAGGAGAAGCGGGTGCCATAGGTGTCTGGGCCACCTGCTGGGGCGTCCACCTGTGCCCTGACCTCATACACACCTTCTCCATGGATGGCAGATACTTCTGTGCGTGCCCAACGTCATGGTTTGGTAACTTGACTACACCCAGTATGTGATGTGCAGTTCAGGTCACAACGCTCATGGTGTGCCATGGTCAGGTATTCAAACTTTACTGGGTCCCAGTAATAAGCCAGGAGCTGTTTCCCAGATGGAGGTTAGTTATTTGCAGAAGAAGACATACCTTTGCTCCAAAACCCCAAGGTTCTGCACTATGATTATCCTATTATCTCTTTATGTCACAGAAACTTTCAGGGACATTGGGTCTCTTGGATCAGATGCCCCGAGGTTCAGAGCAGCTAGGTTTCCAGTCTGAACCTGCACCAGAGTCCTTTCCTGCTCTAGGATCCAGTCAAAACTGGCAATTTTATGGGTTCCCTCACAAATGAGTAGGAGTAGGATGTCAAAATGTGCTACACTCCCCCAGCCAACTCCTAAAGGACTGATCTTTTTTGTAAAGGGAGCCACACAAGGTGTAGCAAATTGTCTCTCAGTTTAGAAGGAATATTGAGACATGCCCCAGACCTATAGTCCCCTAGGACTTACACCAGTGTGATGGGATGGGGAGTAGATGACGCACAGTTTATCCTCCACCCTGTGGCACACGTGTGTTATCATCAAGGGCGCCTGCGACTTCTTGTTCACTCTCTGATTAAATAACATAAATTCATCGATGAAGTGGACCAGTGTGATGTTCTGTAGAAAATCAGACGATCAAGGTCCCTCTGGGACAAGAGGGGAGGAGAGTTGACCAAGACATGAGGCCAGAAAGTGAAGGTGTCCTCTTGTCCCTGAAATATAAATGCTTCTGATTATCTCTGCCAACTAATACAGAACAACGAATTGTTAGATCTGTAAGAAACCACAACCAGAACCGTAGCTGCAATTATCATTGCCACTTATATTTGCCAGAAACTGTCGTCATGCTCTAGACCGAGATGCGATAGCCACCTAGGTCCCTGTGTCTCTCATGCTGTGGTGTTGGCATTAATCTCAGAAATTCCCCCACGGGTGCATTATAGCTTCTGATTTACCATCTTGGTGGGCGTGATAATAGTTTCAGGAGCACCATGCGGTCTTTCTTACCATAACAGCCCTCACTCCATGGGTCAGGGAACCTATGTGAGGGCTTTTCCAGTTACCTGTTCCTATTATACATTCTAGGATGACATAAATAACAGGATGAGTCTGTGGTCCTCTGGAGCCCACTGGGAAAGGGACTTGAGCCGAAAGTCTGTCTACACCCTCACCTGGCTCACGGTGGCGATAAGCATCCATCCAGAGCTATCATCCAAGTAATCCTCACAAGGTCTGAGCATTTATTCCCCTTTGACCAGCGCCCAAGTCCTCCAGATACATGCACGCCTCCCCCGCCCCCCGCAACCAGTCTTTCTGGTGTTGGGGGAAGATTCACCACCTACACCCATGGTTGCACTGCAGGGTCCTTCTCAAACGGGCCCGGCCTCCTTGCTCACTCACGGGGTTCCAGGTCTATGAACTGGCTTAGTCTGGGAATTGGATAAGAAGTCCCTGTCATGGTGACCTAAGATCTCTTCCCGTCAGAGCTAGAAAAATCCCTGCACCTTTAGGGACCCCCGGTCATTTAGCTTTTGCCATGGATCCCCACCTGTCAAAACACTCTGATGACATTTTTGCTCTGTGGCTTGTCCCAGTGGTTGGGGCCACGTTGTCCTGCACACCCAGTGACACCATCTGGCGGCTCCCAAATCCCCTTTTTCCAGCCTTCCCATAAGCAGCTTCTGCCTCAGAGGTTCTTCTGCCACCGCAGCGCTCTCGATGTCCCCTCCTCCGATGCCTTCCCACGGGACAGGATAAGGAGGTGACTGAGGAGGCTGCACAAGATGGACTGTTTCCAGCTTCCCCTGGTCCCCAAACTTGGGACTCTGTTTCTCTCCAATACGCTGGAGAAGTTCTAGCATTGAGTCCAGATAGGAACTCACTAACCTAGCAGGCTCATAATGATATTCCCAGATGCTTGAACCCACACCTGCAATCCTATATCCCATGTGAAAGAACTTGGCCCCATGAAGCCTTTCTCCTGGTCCTATCTGGTCTCACACCCTTAGAATCTGTATCAGCCAGGGTCCAGGCAGGCATCAGGAACCACGCACCAATTTTAAAGGGGAACGTTTTGTTGTTTTTTTTGTTTTGTTTTTGCGGTACGCGGGCTTCTGACTGCTGTGGCCTCTCCCGTTGCGGAGCACAGGCTCCAAACGGGCAGGGCCAGCGGCCATGGCTCACGGGCCCAGTCGCTCCGCGGCATGTGGGATCTTCCCGGACCGGGGCGCGAACCCGTGTCCCCTAGCATCGGCAGGCGGACTCTCAACCACTGCGCCACCAGGGAAGCCCAGGGGAAAGTATTTTGGTTTTGGTTTTTGGGTGTTTTGGCCACGTGGCATGCGGGATCTTAGTTCCCCGACCAGGGATCGAACCCAGTTAATATAAAGAATCATTAATGAATCCCCTGGCGGCCCAGTGGTCAGGCGGTCAGGACTCCGTGCTTCCACTGCAGGGGGCACTGGGTTCAGTCCCCAGTCGGGGAAGTAAGATCCCTCGGCGTAACCAAAAAAAAAAAGAAAGAAAATCATTAACTAGTAACAGGGGATGAGGATTAAGAGGGGATGGGTTACTAACGGGTAAAGAAGGGTAAAGAGAACTTTAAAAGATAAGAGAATAGCAAGCAGATCTAGGAAGCAACCTCTATACCTGGGGCTGGAAGACAAGCTCTCCCTCCTGCAGTGTCCGTTTAGCTCCCTCTACTGGCAAAGCCTAACATTGTGCCAGGAAGACGATGAAAAATGCTTGCAAGATCCAGCAGGGCAATGAAGAGTGGATCTGGAGCTGAGAGGCAATAGATGGATAACCGGCACAGAGTCTGTTCACACACATGCTCCAGGACTCCTGCCAGTACATACTGGTGAGGTCCTGTAACGCTCTCAGTGTGTGGCATGCCCATGCCGGACCAAGCCCCGTGCTTCTCTGGACGACGTTGGAAATTCACTCTTGTGGGTCTGGAGGAGAAGCAGTCCCCTATAAGGGGACCCTGTCCCATGTATGAGGGTCACACTGTCTTCTCCCCCAGCGCCTTTTCCTTAGCACAAAGTGGCAGGGTTGAACATTTACCTGGCAGTGCAACTCTGTAACACTTTCACTCAGACTTTGGGCCTTGTCCTCAGCCGTATGTGCCCTGTGACTACAGGAAACAAGGGACGCTCTGCTAAGGGAGCTTTCTGAGTGTCCATCACATTTCCATTTGGACAGTCTCATCTTTCAGTTGCTCTCTAGGGTCATCCGTAGAAACCAGCTGACCACAATCAACCTCGGCACCACTGCTGCCATAGTAACAAAGTACCACACCCACATCGACTCCCAATACCTTGCTCTCCACCTGCACTTCTTTCACCGTTACCACCAGTGATAATCTTGTAACAGGGAAGAGCCAATTTTCACTCCAAGTTAGATCTGTTTCTTTGACTTTAGGCTTTGCTTTTCCTTGCTTTTGTTATAATCTTACATAATGGCCTGCCTCAGGGAACACTACCCGCCTGTAAATGGCTGCAAGAAAGAAATTAACACGTCCCCTCCCCAAGGATGGCCATTCCAGGAGATGTTTTGCAAGACTGATGGCCCTTTTTACTTTACTTCCTCCCTGCTTCTCCCTCTCTATTCTGCCTTTTTACTTTACTTCCCTCTCTGATTCTATAAAAGAAACTGGCGTCCAAGATCTCGGAGAGGCAGCTGTGAGTGGTGGTGTGAAGCAAGATCTTAATTCCCTGCCCGGGAATTGAACCTGGGTTGCCTGGATGAAACCAGGAATCCTAGCCACCACACCCCCTGGCTCTTGCCCTCTGTGAAAAATGCATATCTCACGGAGGCAAAAACTGTAAAAACAGGTACAAAGTTTATTATTAGAGACATAGCACAACAACAGGTGGGAGAGCACACAGAGAAACTGTTTAGTTAAGACAGAAGCAAGGCAGAGATGCACACCCGGAGAGAAAGGGTGTGGGCATCCCCCCAATGAGGAGGAGCGCAGTAGAGACGCGGTTAAGTCACTTATACAGGGCAGTTCTTCCGGGTCTCTGTTTACCTCTGGCCAATTATCTGGTTTCTTTTTCCACACCTGACCTGTCCTAGGACCCTCCCCAACACGTGTGCACAACTTTTTTCCCAGATGGATTACAGCCCAGAGGCCGGTGGACAGCCTTAGCATCACATATTATGGGGTGGTGCCCCCTCCTTTTTGACCCCCAAGGAGCCCTTCTGCGCATGTGCAATGTTTCCCTTGCCTCAGGGATGGGAAATGTATGACCTCTTGATCTTTTTCTTTTTTTTTAATAAGTCAAATTAGTTTGTTTTTTTTAATTTATTTATTATTTATTTATTTTTGGCTGTGTTGGGTCTTCGTTTCTGTGCGAGGGCTTTCTCTAGTTGCGGAGAGCGGGGGCCACTCCTCATCGCGGTGCGCTGGCCTCTCACTGTCGTGGCCTCTCTTGTTGCAGAGCACAGGCTCCAGACGCGCAGGCTCAGTAGTTGTGGCTCACGGGCCTAGTTGCTCCGCGGCACGTGGGATCTTCCCAGACCAGGGCTCGAACCCGTGTCCCCTGCATTAGCAGGCAGATTCTCAACCACTGCACCACCAGGGAAGCCCCTCTTGATCTTCTAACAGGGTTTAGTCCCACTCTGTCCCTGCCATAAAAATGTCCAATGTCTAGTTATTTACCCTATTTCTGTTGCTGGTTTTTATATTGAGGTGCAGATCTCGAAATATAGACAGGGGTCCCGTCATAAATATGTAGTCCTGGAGCCCGTTTGTCTCTTGCTTCAGGAAATGTAAACAGGGGGCTGGGAATGAATGTCTGGCCTGGAGCCCATCTTCTTCTCACGCCAGGAAGTGTGAACAAGAGGCCAGTTGTAAATGTCTCTCCAGGAGCCCATCTATCTCCTGCCTCATCCAGACCCTGATAAGATGGTTTTTTGGGGGACCCTAGTCCACCATCTTCTCAGTCTCCTGGCTTTCCAAATAAAGTTGTATTCCTTGCCTCAATACCTCGTCTCTGATGTATTGGCCCGTTGTGCGGCAAGCAGAGCAAGCTTGGACTCGGCAACAATTTGAGCAACTGTGAAATTTCCATAGGCCTCATCTCACCTGTGCCCCATCAAGGTGGTTCTCTCTGTGTGGGTTTCCCTGTGGTGGAAACCTAATCCCAGAATACAGTTTTGTTGGTCTCTTTCTGGGTGACACTGCTCATTCTAATTACTGAATTGGTCAGGGTCCCAGCAGGAAATGAATGGTATACCCAAACTGGGTAACTTGAGTAGAATTTATTAAAGGGAGTACTGCTTACAACTGTTAAGGTTGGATCCAGGGAAACCACAAAGGATTGTGCAGGAGTTGGGAGTAATCATGTATTTCATTTTATTTTTTTTTAACCTTTTTTGGGGGGCTGCGCTGCATGGCTTGCAGGATCTCAGTTCCCTGACCAGCTATTGAATCTGGGTCCAGCAGTGAAAGCCCA